TATAACGCCTTCTCGGTTGAAAGGCCGATTGTGTTCGGCGACTTGGATTCGAACCCGTGATACGCAGATTGCGAGTCGAGATCCTTAACCACCAGTACATGCCAGACCCTTAATAAAATGTATATCAACTGAAACACACACACACTGGATGTATAACGCTAAGTTATGCTTTTACCCGCTGATTTAGGGCATTTATTTGAACTTATCACACAAATGTGTACCGGATTACACACTAAAGAACATGGAAACTTTGTCTCTCTTGTTCAAAGATGTGGAGGAAGAGGGGGGGGGGAGTAAAACACAGCTTCTAACAGATAAAATATAATTTTAAAGTCGGAACTAAATTTTATCTTCGTCCACTCTTCTGCATCCTATCTCTGAATGAAGACAGATCAGGCCATCCGCTCTTGTAGTGCAGAATGTAATCGGGCAGGTCCACTCCCATGGTAGCTAAAAAACAGAGTGTAAAAGTAATTGAAATGATATAATGGGTAATCTGGTAGTTATAATCAACGAATTATTGAATTTTGTTGTTGTTGTTTTTTGTGGGGGGGATTTAGCACAAATTATCGAAACTAAGATGTCACATGACAGAAACAAAAAGTCGTAATGTAATTACCTTATCAGGTTAAACCGAAACTTTCAGTGATTTGTTAACACTGTTTACAATCCATCATATGCTGTAATTATGTAATCAAAGCATGATGTCCTGTTAAAATAAAGCATTACACGAGCCACGCATCCCCCAAACTATCTCCAACTGAACTAAGTAAAAGTTGAAATTATGATTCCTGCCAATTGTTTTAGAGCGTATATTTATTTACCTTGTCGGCTTCAGCTAGGTTCTTCTCTGAAAACAGTGTCATCAGAGCTGTTTAGATATTCGACCAAATTTGCTGCTACATTTAAACATTTTAAAAAATATGGGTTACAGAATCGCTACTGTCTGTTTAAGTAAGACTAAAGTTTGGACTGTCAGGTGTTTACAGAGTGAAACCTTGTATAGATCTCCAATAGGTTTCAAGTAATTTTAGTTCTTTTACTTTTGCTGTCGGTTTCAACTAGATTATACCAGTATCTTTGTTATTTTTGTTTTTTAATAATTCATCGTTATAATTTTCCAACTATACTTTAAATGATTCATGATTTAATTATTTCGACTTCGGATATTCCAAATACAATTGAATATAAATTGTTGTAACTTTACTCCAATGTAAAAAACAACAACAAAACAACAACAATTTATGTAAAGTCACTATCATAATTACATTACCCCTCTGAGGGTCATGCACCCAAAACATAAGTTATATATATATAACTTAGAACGCTTTAAAAGTAACTCCATTCAAAGCTGTAAGTGTAAATATTCTAATAAATGCAATTATTTTGAATGCATTGATCTATATTTGCACGCAATAAGACCGTGATAATAATGTACTTTTTGTTTTGTTTTTGCATTCAAGTTCACTGGTTTAAGATAAGTCAATGCAATAGTTATTATATTACTAATTTTTAATACTTCCCAGTGGCATAGCGGTATGTCTGTGGACTTACAACGCCAGAAATTGGGCTTTGATACCCGTGGCGGGCAGAGCATCGATAGCCTATTGTGTACATATATATATATATGTTTGTTTACATGGTTACTATGTAAGGGTTTATAATAAATGTATGTATCTTTTACATGCAGCCTGGAAAGTGTAAAATATGTTTAACACAGATAAAATAGATAACATAGAATATAATAATTAGTGTTTCATAACAGAAAAAGAATAATAGCGTGACTTAAACAAGGTATAAAACGAAATTATGCTTTAAATAGAGAGGTAATGTTTTACAAAAGGAGTTTCGACGAGTAAGTTGGCGGTGGGTGGTGATGACTAGCTGCCTTCCCTCTAGTCTTTCACTGCTAAATTAGGGACGGCTAACGCAGATAGCCCTTGTGTAGCTTTGCGTGAAATTCAAAAACAAACAAACAAACAATCTCTCTAGTCTATCACTTTAAAATTAAAGTAGATTGCCCCCGAGTAGGTGGGTGCGAAATTTAACTAACAAACTTTGCCTAACAGGTACTTTGAGTTCGGCTTGGGGCTACTCTTTTACCGACGAATAGTGGGATTGACCGTCACATTATAATGCCCCCACGGCTGAAAGGGCGAGCATGTTTGGTGGGACGGGGATTAGACTAGAAAGAAGGCAACAAGTCAACATCACCCACGCTAAATTTCGGCTACACTTTACCAAGGAATAGTGAGATTGACCGTTACATCATAATGCCCTCACGGCTGAAAGGGCGAGCACGATTTGGCGAAGAGTTTCGATCCTGAAACCCCAAGATTGGGAGTCGAGTGTCGTAAACCCCTCAGACCATGCCAGACAGACCGGGCAAACTACAGGTATTAAGGCGTGTATGGAAAAGTTGTAAACATTACGAATTGTTTTGTAAGCGGTCCCATTTTTAACAGCTTCGTTGTTATCCTTAATGAAACGAAAAAGTAATTGTAGAAGCCTGAAAATGTTTAATTTATTAGTTATAAAACATACGTTGGCTTTAAATTCTATTTCTCCTATTAATCTTATACGTGAGTGATATTTTCATCTCTTTACTGACCAGCAATTACCTTAAACTCATCACTTCTTAATTTTCAAATTATTTTTCAATTTATTGACCACTTATGAAGCAAAGCGCCCTCTTTCAGTTGTTTGAATGCTAATAATAATAATAATAATTTCAAAAACTTTTTGCTTGACACAAACTAGAAAATAACTCAATAACAATAGTTTGAAAGAAACAATCAAAAACAGTTTTTTTTCACTTTTCAAACTTATCTGTTTCTTCTTCATTTAAACTGATTTAAGTCATTTAATTAGGTTCATGATACACTCAGAACTTAAGGATTTTGGGGAAAAATATTACATTGTTTATAAATGAGATAACATGGAACACTGCTTATGCACAGCTGTATTTCCTCTACAGGTGAAAAAATTAACGTGTGAAATTAAAAACTTGGGAACACTGGTTTGCATATATAGGCAGTTTTTTTTACTATGAAGTTTAGAGAAATAAACGTGGACTAGAATTATAGAAAAATGGACGTAAAATAGTTTTCGAAATATTTACTACTAATATCCACAGAGTGTATAAAACAAGATAAAATCATTAAAAGGAAGATATTTACTGACTGTAGTTTAGATTAAAATGTGGATTTATACAGAGTTTTTGTTAACTTATCTTATTTTCACTTTTCTGTTTTGTAAGATTTTACTGTTATCTAAGCAAGGTTGTTGTTCGTTATTAAGCACAAAGCTACACGAAGAGCTACCTGTGCTCTGCCCATCACGGGTATAGAAACCCGGTTTTTAGCAGTATAAGTCCGCAGACATACCGCTGTGCCACTGGGGGTTTATCTAAGTAAGCCAATAATTTCATTAAGTACTGTTACAATACATTATGTGTTACGTTTTTACTGTACAATACATTACGAACGTATCATTATGTTGAGTTTTTACATATAACATTGGGTTTAGTAATTCACGGAATGGTTGCAACATATAAATACTTTAAGCAATTATTAAGGATAAGATTAGTGATACCCGTATTTTATCATCCTACGTACTTTTAAGCAATCCGTCGTAAACAGGTATATCTTAATTTTTCAAACTTTATTACGTTAGGGACGTTTTGTAATGGAATTGATGGGACGTACTAAGACACCAACGTCCACGCCGTGGAATATAGAATTTTGGTAATATGTCTCAGAAGTTGTAAATAAATTTGTTTCTCAATTTCTAATTGACAGTATATTTGTATTTGGTTACAAAATAAGTGCCAAAGGGAAGATTTAGTGCTTTTAGTGTAATTTTAGTTAATTTCTTGTTTGTTTGTTTGTTTGTTTTTAATTAAGCATAAAGCTACACAATGGGCTATCTGTGCTCTGCCCACCACGGGTATCGAAACCCGGATTCTAGCGTTATATGTCCCCAGACATACCGCTGTGCCACTGGGGGCTTAATTTCTTGTAATAAATATTTCAAAGTAATTATTTTAAATGGGGAAAAACATTACTACAATCACTTCTTTCAAGGACAAGGGAATTGATATTTTCTATAACCAAATAATAATTATTATGAATTCATAGTAAGAAGTTAATCTGTTTAAACCCTTAGTTCTGTACTATAATTTTGGTAAAATCTACACCATTAGGCTGGATATTTGTAACATTGTCTTCGGATATGCAGACCTTCTTCTCAAAATTGGCATTTTAAATTTCCAGAAAAACAAAGCCGACTAGATGCGCGCGCCACTTCATTTGTATTATATTTTCAAACTTTAAATGTTTGTTAGTTTGTTTTAGCGAAAAGCTACACAATGGGTTATTTGCTTTTGTTTTTTCAAGCGCGGGGAATCGAACACTAAATGTAGCGCTGCACGTCCGTAAACTTGCTGCTGACCCATTGGAGTGCAACTTCAAACTTTAAACAAATCCAGTCAACTAAATCTCAAACTAGAATGAAGGCAGGATAAACTGGAGTAACTGTATGATTTTCAATAAACATCTGTAGTTTTTGAAGACAAATTCAGGTAGCTATCATTTTGAACGAAACAATAAATACTCAGGCCATTATATTTATTGTATTTCGTCGTAGTTTTACTTTGAAAAAGTTCCTAGAAGTGTAAACGTAAATCTAATTTGGGGGAACTTCAATGAATTTGACCCTTTTCATCAAAACGTTTTATACCGGGGTATGTTCATAACTCTTTAAGCCTGACTCTATAGTGAAAGAATTAGAGGAGCTATATGGGGGAGTGGGGGGGGGGGGTTTATTATATACCATATATCATATATGGGGGGGGGGTAGTGTTCATAACTCCTTAAGCCTGACTCTATAGTGAAAGAATTAGAGGAGCTATATGGGGGAGTAGGGGGGGATTATTATATACCATATATCATATATGGGGGGGGGGGTTATGTTACACAATACATCATATGTGCTTTTACGCTTAGAAAAGGCAACCAAAGTATTACAAAATTTTATTCCAGCTTTGAACCTCGTTGCTCAGTTTAAGGTTTGATCCCTTGTCAACGAAACCTGTTTAACACACTTACCTGTTCTCTTTCGTTCTTGCTTCATTCTATTTTGGATAGTCAACATGTCTTCTTCGATGCGGTTGTCACCATCGAAAGAAGTTAATCCTGGATTAAAGGCTTCCACCATATCCAGATAGGTACGAGGATATACTTTCACTGGCATACTACAGCATATCCCCACCAGGAGACAGCCAATACCCAGAAATGAGTTGAAGAGTCGCATGGTCTAAAAAAAGGGGGGAAAAAAGGCATGCTTGAAACGTGGTTAACGAGTATCATCTTTTCATATAATGGTTTTGTTTGTTTATTTATTTAATTTCGTTCAAAACTACTCGAGGACTATATCCACTAGTCGCCCCATATTTTAAAATGATAAACTAGAGGGGAAGGCTTTTAGTTAACACCCAACTCTTGGACTGCTTTTTATTAACGGATAGAGAATTAACCGTCATATTATAATGTCCCCGCGGTTAAAAGCATGTTCGGTAATGGGATTCGAACGTGTGATCCACAGATTCCGAGTCGAGTGCTCTAGCCACTAGGTCATGCCTTGTCATTGTTGTTGGTAAGCCTTTCTCTCGCTCTCTCTCTCTTTCAGTTTATTAATTATCAATGTTAAAATGTGAGATTGGTTGAAGAAAGTTTTATTTTACTGTACAACGAAACTAAAGTTGGTGGTTGGCTACAATATTCGAGGTTACAAACTTATAGGATGCTTATGTTTTTTTTTTGTTTTTTTTATGAAATGAAAATTCGTACAAGTCAACTATACAACCTAAGCGGTGATAGAACTATAAAACTTTGTTTATCTATTGTAGCTTTGCTAAAGAATATTGGGATAACAATAATGCTCAAATTCATTGTTGACTGCGGAACCTCTTTGTTAATTAGTGTTGTCCAACACTACCTGGTTTGTTACACCATCCAACACTACCTGGTTTATTACACTATCTCTGTCCACCCCCCCCCTTTTATTGCCCAAAGAACCTTATTTCTTATTGCTCAAAACTTTTGGTTAAATGAAAATAATTTTTTTGTTTTTGGAATTTATCCTGTGAATTGACTACAGAATCAGATTATATTACCCATGCTCAAACTAGATAAAGAATCTCAAATGTATAAACGTTGCTGCAGTTTACTATTTGATATAGTTTACGTCGAAAAGACTGATCGACAACAAAAAGGGAGAGTAGTATTTTGTGAAGGTGGGAGGGTTGGAGTGAATGAAATATCCTATGACCTTAAAAAGTAAAGTCCACTAGGGATTTTTGAGAAGTTGAAGAATCGATTTTTTGAACCCTTATAAAAATTATGTTTCCTCAAAAATACTTTTTATTGGATAAGAATAATTAAGACACACGTAGCTGGGTAAAGGTGTGTCACGTATTAGATTATCATGCACTTTACCCAGCTACGTGTGTCACGTATTAGATTATCACGCAGGTAGCTGGGTAAAGTGCATGATAATCTAATACGTGA